CTGCCGTAACTGCTGCTGGCCCCGAGCCCCCAGTCCACTCCAGGAGCTGAGTGCACAGTCCTCAGTGCTCAGCACTACACCACCAGACGCACCCAGCCGCAAGGCCAGTGTCCACAAGCATGTGGTCTTCCTGGAGCCGGGCAAGAAAGGTCTCAATGGCCGTGTGCAGCTAGCTGTAGCTGAAGACTTCGATCTGAGCAACCCCATGGAGTTGCAGTTCAAGGTTGGCTCCGAGTCAGCCAGTTCCACAGGCTCAGAGGGTCTCATGATGACCTAGACCGCCTGGGTGTCCCCACACTGGCCATAGACCTGCTGCTGCTTGCCTGGTTCACTGATGCAGTCTAGAGAACTGACAGATGCTGGTGGGATGCACTGTGCCTGCTCCTAACTGCACGTGAGCCTTGACCTGTCCTGGGACCGTTCTACTCACTGGTAAAGGGACTGAGGCTCCCCCACTTGCCTCCTGCTCTGTCTGGCTCAGGATAAGGCCTCAGACCACTAGAGCCTGCTTCCCCTAGGATCTCTGAGTGACCAAACGTCCCATGAAGATTAGGGACCAAGACCATCTGGTAAGAGCCCTTGCATTAGAGCTCTGGGACCACCTCAGGAATTGATGCAGATGTTATAGGCGTGGTATAGACGTGGTATAGACGTCAAGCATACCACCTTCCCTTCCTTGCCAGGGAGCTCACCAAGGAGGGAGAAGGCAGCTCAGAAGATCCAGCTCCCACTCTAGGATGGGAGGAATAAATGAGCCCTTCCTGTGCTGCAAGAGAACCCTGTCTATTACCACCATCCAGCCTCCGGAAAGCTCTACAACTCCTGTGGAGTCTGGTGGGCATGCATGACTCTTTCAGGACACTCCCGCAAGAGTAGCCCTGCTGTCTTCAGCCAAAGGTAGAGCCAATCCCATGGGCTCATAACCCAGCAGGAAAAAGCCTGGTGAACACGGCTAATCTGGGACTCATGTCCCTGGAGAGCAGAAGGCCTCTGAAGGACTGGTACTTATCTCAGCCTAATGGCTAAAGCAGTGTCCTGAACTCACATGCCTCTACCACTCCTGCAGGCAGTTAGGGAAGAAGGTCGGAGCCCCTCCCAGGAGGAGCTGGCAGCCCCGTGTGTGTCCTAGATGACTATCAAGGCACTTTGTAATAAAGATGGTACGTGTTCATTGCCAGGCCTTCCCAGATGGGTAGCTTTGTGTGCTCGGCTCTTGATCCAGCAGGGTGGCCCTGACCATCAGAGGATGGCACATCTTCCAAGTTTTGGCATTTATGCCCCTGCCAGAGGCATGGCTGCAAGCTAATCCTACCCAGCCAAAGCAGCTGCTGTTACCACCTGCTCACACCTCACCGTCTACCTTTGCCTCAGTGTCCCAAACTAGATTCTGAGGTCCATTTTGAGACGGAGAAACATGTACACTGAGTCCCTGCCCTATGAGCCCCTCCTCAAAGGGCACACCCAGTTCCCATGGGGCCAACAGTCCCCAACACTCACTCTGAGGCTGGACCATGCACCAGGAGGCGTACCAGGATGCCGGTCACTGCCACCAGGATAGGGTAGTGGTCCACACTCTCCAGGCCTGAGGGGAGGGAAGGAAGATGAAGTACTCATGTGGTTCCTGCTGTGGCAGCAGCTCGAGTCCTGCCCGACACCACTGGCCCTTCCCACCATTCTTCCTACATAGAGGCAAACTGAGGCTGGGAGTGCAACAGTCCTGGTACCGAATGGAGAATCTAGCACTGTTGCTCCTGGCATAGAAACTAAGGCCTTGGTGTGCTGAGGTGCAGGGCATCTAGATCCTTACCAGGAAGCCGTAGGGTGACTACACGGTCAAACAGGTTCCTCTCAGCTGTCACCCGGTTCAGCACCTGGTTCAGCAGCTGTGAGGGCAGGAGCCTATTGGTGGATGGCAAGCGCACCACTTGAGCCATCCCCGGGTCCTACCCTCCTTGCCCAGATGGACACACCTGTGCAAGACGCCGAAGCAGCATCTCAGAGGTAGGACGGGACCAGTCAAGGAATATCTCAGGCACCAGTGTGATGGTCATTTCCAAGACTCGCAACAAGCTAACCGAGAGGTCAAAGCAGGTGGCACAGACCTTGAGCTGCCGGCTGTCCACAAAGTTTCGCTCTAGGCGTTCAGCAGCCTGTTGAATCTAAGTCACCAACAGAAAGGCAGGTAGCAGTCAGAGAGGCCTTGCAACAGTGCTTGGCCTTGGCCTCTGCCCACCCCTACCCCAACACACCATAGCCCACCTCCTGGATCATGCCGATGAACTCAGAGAAGGCCCAGTTAAGCTGGTTAAGGACACTGTTGAGGAAGCTAGGTGCTACATCAGGGCCTTGTCGTAGAAGATCTGCCATGTGCTGCTGTAGCAGGGTGGAAGGGCAGGGCTCTGGGGGCAGAAGAAAGCCACATTACCAGGGACCTCCAGACAGGAAGCCCCTGCCTGTCATACACTGGAACAGAGGTGTAAGAACAAAAGGATGGCTCTCTAAGAAGGTTCCGATCATGAAAGGAGAGGACTGGCACAGAACTGCTTGGAAGTTAGGAGCAAGCATGCCTCCCTTCCTCCTGCTGAGCAAGCCACCACACCCCACAAGCCCAGAGCAGCCAGACAGCTGTTGGCCCCACGTGAAGCAAATTCTGAATCATATGCCTGCCTGCCTGCCTGCCGGCAAGTGTCAGATATACACAATGAAGACCATTCCCACCAGTATCAAGGCTAGCTTCTGCAAGAGCCCAGATTGGGCCCTGCTGTCCTCTGCTGCCCTTGGCCTGGCCTTGGCATATGGCTTAGGTGGTGAGTGCCAAGTCTGGGCTGGAAGGGCAGCAGTAACCAGAGCTCTCAGCTGCAGCTGGCCCAACGTACCTCTCCACCCCTCTGATCAAATCAATAGTCCCTGCACACAGGGGCGGCATCTGCCCCCACCACCCTCCCCACTTCAGTTCAGTTCCGTCCTAGAGTCTAGACAAGGCATTTAGCAAGGACTTGCTCCGTGAGTCTGCACAAGACTTTTGGCCACTCTGGGAACACCCAGAGACCAAGGCGCTGGCTGCCAGGGCAGAAACTTTGGTGAGGGAAGTGAGGAATGTGGCAAGCCCTCTGCAAGCTGCACAGCTCAAGGTCTTGGCCAGGCTCAGGTGAAAACCCTTGGGCTAATGAGACAGCACAGCTTCCTCTGCTAGCCAAATCTGAAGCCCACTTTGGGTCCTGATCAGTTTCTAGTTTGTGATCCTCTTGAGTCAAGGGTCCAAGGCCAGAAGACAACAGAGAAGATACATATCCCCTCGGAGATATGGCTGAGGGAAAGGAAGGGGGCACAGGGCAAGGAATAGAGTGTGCGCCCTACATAAGCTGCCAGCAAGCTGGAGAGACATGACCCCCTCCCACTGCGAGCCCAAGGGGAACAGAAGGACTTGCCCCAGAGCATCCCAGGGCTAGGAGGGAGTAGGAAAAAAATAGGAAACCAAGGAAAAGGTTAGGAGCCTGAAACCAGTCCAGGCAGGAGACAGGCTTGGAGGAACAGGAAAGAGACTCTTGAGTAGCAGGAAAGGCCACTAGGACCTGTCCAACCTGGATACTCACTTTGGAGGCTGGGCAAATTGGCATCCTCTGGTTTGGTTTTCAACAAATGTGGCAGCCGTGTATAGCGGTACCCAAACCCACAGCCCTGGGGGTGAAACAGCAGGGATCAGAGGGGCACAGTGACACTCCCTTCCAGCTGGTCTTGGCCATTCCCCTCAGGTCAGACTTACCCTCCAAAGCCGCACCAGGATCCAGTTGGTCTGGGCCCAGGGCCGTTGCTCATAGGGTGCCAAAAGGTTCTTCACCATAGCAATGCGCCTATGAAGGTGAGGGATGGCAGGCACAGGGTGAGGCTGGGCATGACGATGTCAAGTAGAGTGTGTATCCCCCCAGGCTCCCACTTACTGCTCCTCAGGGATCCGTTCCACAGCCCGCAGAGAGTGTGGGTAGCACACATAGCTGGCCAGGGCCTGCATCAGTGAGTCTCGAATGTCTGTCAGGATATGCTATGCCTCAGCAAGTCTCTGGCATGGGCTGGGACCCCCAAGCCTAATGCCCACATGGCCACAGTTTAGGTAGAAAACAGCTTGCCAGACATGCCACTCCACCCTCATTCCCATGGCTCTCTGGAGGACACTCACCGGTGCCTACGATGCGTGGGTCAGCAAAGTGCTTGGCAAGGGTGGCAGCCAAGCGGGTCAGGGTCTCCTCATAGCCTGCAAAGGAGGACAGTGAGAACTGCTGGCTAGCAGTAAGGATTCCAAGAAGGCATGTCCTTTGTCAGGGTGGGCAGGCATTGTGCAGCAGGCCCTAGAGCTGGCTGTGGGGCCAGTCTGGACCTATGTTAGCATCTAGAGACATTGGGCAATTGGGAAGGGGCGTGGACAGATGATGACAAGGACCCTGACCCAGGCTCTAAATCATTCTGGAATTCACCTGATGACTCAGCAGCCAAAGCAGCTTGGTCCCCAGAGCTCTGAAGGCAGAGCAACAGCAAGAACTGCACAGCACAAGGCAAGTGAGGAACTGCCTGCTTACAGCCTGCCATTGCTAGGCCCAGCTTGATCAGTGGTCTTGGTGGAACAAAGGCTCCCACTGAGCCCCAGCAGGGCTCGCCTCTTGTTATGCTTCACAGAACAAGCTACGGAGCCTGTCCCACTGCCACTCTGAGACCAGTAACCAGGCAGCAGGCCGAGGAGCCATCAGGCTATGAGACCACAGCAGCTATCATCAACACCAGCAAAGGAAACAGAGCTAGGGATCCCCACCATCTGCTGTCCTTGGCACACCCCTCTGTTGCTGCTTCAGAGCCTGCGGGCACTAGTTCAGTACCCAAGCTTGATGTGTATGGTTGGGTTGTGACAATGAACTTGGGGCTTGCCAAGTTCATTCTAAAGGTCTCTTTTCTGCACGCCTCTCCCCAAACTGTGAGAGGTCCCATCACCTGGGAGCTCTTCCATGCTGTGCACAGGGCCAAAATAATTCTTGAGAGCACTGTAGCTGTTGATGGCCACGCTTAGGTAGAACTCAGGCATGAAGGCAAAAAGAGACCCTGTGCGGTCCCCGTGCTCGATGGTCCGTAGGCAGACACGCAACAGCCAGTAGATATCCAGCATCTTCTCCTGCAGGAGGCACACAGAACGCTGCTGGGCCACTTACTGTGAGGGTCACAGGGACATGGTCTGGTCTACGGATCAGGGAGGCCTCTCCATGACCATGGCTGAGACCTGGACTACAGAAGTGTGAGTTGTGGCCTAAGCTGAAGAATGAAGTCCTCAGCAGGCAAGAGTCCAGCCAGACCAGGGCAGTTCTATGACCCAAATGAGTTATAAAAGGGTGGAGACATCAGGCTGTGTTGCCCATATACCAAGAACGTTGTCCCCAAGGGAGAAGGAGTGGATCTGAGGGGAGAGGAGAGGAGGAGAGGGCTGGGAGGAGTGGAGGGAGGGACACCGGTTGGGAGTTGATAAGTAATGTATGAGAAAAGAATAAATAAAACATAAAATACAAAGCAGATCAGAGATAACAGCTGCTACTCAAGAAAAAGGGAAGCATGGCAGCCTCATTTCTGAAGGTGATGGGTGGAGCATAGACGCTGGTGCAGGAAGAGGGTGTGTAGCTCAGCACGGAGAGCATGGGGCACCTGCGCATGCTAGCAGAGAGTGTGTGTGGAGGAGGCAGGTCTCAGAGGAGAAAGCGATGGGAAAGGAAGGCAGTGTGACTGCTGTGGGAAGAGAAGCCACAAAAAAAGGGGGAGGGCTTGTTCCCACAGTGTGGCTGTTAGAGAAAAGGCACAAGACCTCAGAAGGTGCCAAGCCCAGCTCAGATTCACAGAACCTGCACTTGACACTAGCTGCTAGCTCTCTGAGGTGTTCCCAAATCCCAGGACCAGAAAAAATACAGAGAAGGGCGGGCAGTGGGCACTGCCACCACAGAAGACCCGGGAAGATGAGCCTGAGGCAAGATGACAATGGCACCATTGTAGCCAAGGGGCCAAGTGATGGAGATGTGCCACTGAGGCTGGGGACAGGGCAGAAACTTTGAGAGCACTGTCTCAGAGAGGTGGAGGAGCCTGTGCTTGACCAGGTGTTGGGGGAGGGGAGGTAGCTAAGACAGAGAGGATGGAGTGAGTGGGCAAGTGCAG